GACCAAGCTCCTAGGTCCATCTATAGCTATCCTCCTTTGCTCTTCGGCCTTCATGAAGCGAGCAATCTCATCTATGGTGATCGGTGTGTCCCTTACTAAGAGGTTGGCCACGAACCCCTCCCACATGGGTGATATGGAGATGATGAACATGGTATTGAGTCTCTTAATAATGAGCAACGCTGGCATCATCACATTCTTGAGCACATTGCTTAAACTTACTCACATGATCACTTTAGTGTGATCATCCATTTTGCAAGCTAGTAACTTCTTCAAAGTGATTATCTTCTTGGCCCTTGAAGGAGTGTCAAAGCTCGTTTCCAACTTGTCCATGATCTACTTTATGGTGGTGCATGATTCAAACTCCTTGACATAAGTATCATGCATCGTGGCTAGCACAATGTTAAGAGTACCTTGATTTTTGTGTAGCCATGTAATGGAGGCATCTCTTGGGATTTGAGATGCATTATGGGCTGACTCACTAAGAGGGGGCTCAGTCAAGAGAGGAGTTAGCCCATTCTCATGAAAAACATAGCCAATCTTCCTTCTCCACTCTATATAGTTCGATCCGTCGAACTTTTCTTCCTTGAGTAGTTCAGTCAAAATGGACTTGGCCACCATGGCTCCCACTTTGCACTCTAAATACAGTCTAAGACTCAATAAAAGGACTTAAGGGGCCACCAAAGAGCCTAGCTCTGATGCCTATAAAGGTGATATAGAGTCTAGGATGCTTTTTATATAAGGCTTGTACTAGGAACTCAACTTAAGGGATCCGCATGGCATGTACACATGACAACCGAATTACTAGAAAGCAGCCCTATAGAGGGACACATACATAGAGAGAGTCCCCTTTTGCAGTTTGGTGATAAGTGCTAGACTTGCTCTTAAAGGTGGGGGGGACTGAAATCCACATTCCAAGATAATGGTCCCACTATTTATTGTCCAACTTTGACAAGCTAATTATGAGCCCCTGATTGAAATTGTAGGTCATCGGTCCTTGTTAGGTTGGATAAGAAGACAATTGTGGATCATGGTTCTTGGTTCAGGTAGAGCACCCATATTGTCGCAAATTTTGACCCATTGGTGCCAGCCCAATTCTAGAATATTCTATTTTGGTATTAGAAACGTTTTTATATTTTTACAAACTTTTTCAGAATTTTAAAAAAATAATTCTGCTGTATATTCATGAAAAAGGGTATTTTCGAATTTTCAGAACTTGAAAGGGCCCGTGGGGAGCAAAGATCTAGCCCCCACCTGTGTGTGTCACCATGAGCGGCACGTGTAGCCTTGTGGGACCCACAAAAGATCCCTAGAGTGGCACACCACCTTTTTTGGTGGTTTGTGTGCCATCTGTTAGTTAAAAGATGGTTAGTTAGGGAATCTTTTTAAAATAGATTTGTTCCCTATTCAAATGGGAGTTTAAGAGAAAAAATATTATCTTTGACTTCCTATAGATTTTGGAAGATCTAGATAATATTAAAAGAGGTTACAGTTTAAATTTAAATAGAAGTTGGACATGGGTAAAATCATAAGGGGATAAGGTTCCTAATTTCCACCCAAAATCATGACGGCTGATTTGGGGATTGATGGCTCAAATTTAGTCTCTCACCCCATAAATTTCCTAAATATCCTAATGGTCAAGATGGAAAATTAGATAACGCATACCTAGATGGAATCTTACTCTAAGGTGGAGAACGATTTATTTTTCTATTTAAACCTATTTGAACCTCTCTCAAAATCTTATAAGACCTCTCTCTCTCTCTCCCCTCCTCTCTCTCTCTCTCTACTCTCACTCTACTACTACTACTACTACTACACTACACTACTACACTACACTACACTACACTACTACTACTACACTACAC